GTAATTTATTCTGACAAGCCATCCACATGCAAAGAGCATGTTTAGGTATGTATGCTTTATTCCATACCACCTTGTACCAATGCACAATCGGCCCCACTTCTTGTACTGTTTGCCATGCCACTTTAACCTTAAAATTTTACCGAGAATGTTTAGCATCAAGCCATCTGACCGTATCCTCAATTTGACTGGGATAAGGTATCATAATACTTTGCAGCTGTGGATATTGTTGTATCCATTCCACTGGCCAATTAGTGCCAAACCGTTGCATTAGATCAGAAACCGTGGAGTTATTATGAAAGCCATGACCATTTATGAATCTGTAAGACAACAATTAAATAAGAGGACCAAATTCACTCCACGTGTCTTCCCAGGCATGCGTAGATAAACCATTTCCCACATTGTAAATAAAAAACCGTCTGCAATGAGGTCCTAATTCTAAAAGGTTCCAGAAAAGCCAAGACCATTCATTCCTCTTCTTTATTGTCCAAAAATTTCTGCCCCGAATACAATGAGACTGAATCCAAGAGACCCACATGGTATTTCTTCGAGTCAGAATATCCCATATATGTTTAAAAAGTAAGCACCGATTCCAAATCGCTAGTCTTTTCATACCAAGACCACCATTTTGTATAGGTAAGCAAACCCTATCCCAAGAAACTCGACATTTTCCCAATTCACCCTTCGCTTTATTCCATAAAAAATTACGGAACAGCTGTTCAATTTCATGGATAGTGGTTGCCGGTACTAGAAATACCGACAGCCAATTGGTTTGCATAGATTGAAGAACAGAGATGATGAGCTGTCGTTTTCCCCCATAAGAAAGAAATTTGTTTTTCCAGTTCAATAATCGAGATTTTAGCTTAAGCACAAGAAGGTTAAAATCATGTACCTTCAATCGAACTGGAGATAGAGGAACTCCAAGGTAGCGAATAGGAAACACCCCCAGACGAAAAGGTAAGCTGTTACGAATAAGATTTTGAACATCCAACCCCACATTCCCGAAAAACACTTCACTTTTTTCAAGACTCGGAGACAAACCCGAACGATCCTCAAACAATTGAAGAGCACGTTTTATAACTTCCACTGAGGTAGCATCCCCCCCCGAGAAAATATAAACAGATCGTCCGCAAAACATAAATGTGTCAACTTGATCTCAGCACATCCTTGATGGTACGCAAAATTAGCCTTCTCCTCAAAACATTTTGTTAGAAGCATCGATAATCCTTCCATAACCACCGTAAACAAGTAAGGAGACAATGGATCCCCTTGTCGAAGACCCCGCTTACCATGAAAGAAACCCTCCTACCGTCCATTAACGCATATAGAGAAAGTAGGCGAAGAGATTAGAGACTTTATCCAATTAATCATAACTGGATGAAAACCCATTCCCTTTAGCATCTCTAAAAGAAACTGCCAGTCAACTGTATCATACGCTTTCTGGATATCAATCTTAAACTCACACTTTGGCTCCCCTTCAGATTTTTGATAACCAGCTATAAGCTCACGTGCCAATAAAATATTATCAGTCATCTGATGTCCAGGGATGAACGCAGATTGAGCGTTGCTAATAAGAAAATCCAGAGAACCTTTTATCCGTTCAGCAATAATTTTACTGATACATTTCAGCAAAACATTACAACATGCAATGGGACGATAATCAGTAACACATGAAGCATTTGGAACCTTCGGGACGAGGCATAGTAGAGTATGATTCAATTGGTAATCCAAATTTGCAGAGTAGAAGAAATTATGAATCCCAATGAGAACATCCCTACCTACCACACTCCAAGCCGCTTTAAAGAACTTTGACGAAAACCCATCAAGGCCAGGAGCCTTGTCATTCCCAATATCGAACAGAGCATCCTATATTTCCATATCCGAAATTGGCCTGATTAAATGCATAGAGTCCGATAACGATAAAGAGTGAACAAACGAGCAATCCACCATAGAAGGACAAACCAACATATTAGAATTACCCAGAATACCTTCAAAATGATTAATAAACGCTTTTGGGACATCATGATGCTCAAAAACAGTACCAAAAGAATCCCTAATAGTAGCAATATGGCTCCTATTACGCTTCTCTTTCGTAGCATGAAAGAAGAACTTTGAGTTTCCATCCCCTTCATTAAGCCAAGAGATCTTTGCTTTTTGTCGAACCATTTCCACTTGATCATTTCTAGCTTTTTGATATGCTAGCAAGAGGTGAGCAATGTCCTCTTTCAGCAAATCATTAAACGAGTCTAGATCACAAGCCAATTGAGCAACATCAAGTTCCGTCTTTAACTGAGCCACCTTTTTATCCAAACACCCATAAGAATTTTGGAGCCGACGACAAACCCCTTTCATCTCATGCATTTTCCGAAGCACTCTCTTCATATATGAACCTCTCTGAGGTTTCATCCACACCCCCTCCACAGACTTAAGGAAATCCACATGAGAGGTCACAAAATTATCAAACTTGAAACCACGATGACGAAGACGCCTACCAAATTTGAAAGAAAGAATTCTTGGAGAGTGATCTGAGATCCCCCTTGGTTCAAAGAAAACCGAGGCGTCCCCAAATCTAGCAATAAAAGCAGAATTTCCCAAAATACGATCTAATTTACGCATTATACCGTCACCCCCAGAAGGTTTCTGCGTCCAAGTAAATTGGCACCCCTGATACGAAATATCAAATAGTTATGCCTCTTCCAGACAAAGATGAAACTCCTCCATATCAGAGTTACGTCTAGAGGAACCACCCAATCCATCATGAGGAAAAAGCATTGAGTTGAAATCACCCATCACAACCCAAGCTTTCCTTTGAACAAAAGCATTAAATTTACCAATATTCCTCCAAAGGTCCCGCTTTTCCACTCCCGTATTACACCCATAAACAAAGGAAATAAAAATGGGTTCAAGGTGACCAATAATCCGAATTTCACAATGCGCATATTGTAAGTGCTGCTCAATCATTATCAAGGACAACACAGACGGATCCCAAGCGATAATAAGACGAGTGCCTTGATCACACATTAGCCCATTTGTGATCCAACTCCAATTACCAAATACTCTACCACACACATCCCTCAGTTGACTATGTATAACTTTTGACTCAATGATGCAACATAAAGAAAGATGCTTTACATGGATAAGATCACGTACCTCTTTTTGCTTTGTTAGGGCATTTAGACCCCTAATATTCCATGCGGCGAACTTTATCATTGAGAAGTTGAAGTGAAAATCTTCTCTCCTCGTTGTTCCATAGTATGCCCCTCAGTATCAATGATCTCCATATCATCATCATCACTAGATTTGTAATATGGTAATGAGGAAAACCGATTACTAATAGCTGTGCCATTTACAGCGCCTCGTCTCTGTTTGAAAGAATGGACCACCGTTTTGACTAGCTCCGAACCCCCCTTGGATAGAATTTTGACATTCGAAAAAGCATCTCTTCCTTTTGGCGTTCTCCCAACATCCACCGTACAAAATTGACTTTCCACATGTTCCACACCTTTCCCATCTAAGACTGTAGAAGCAGCAGGCCTTATAACGTCCGTGTCCTTTTTAGAACCTCCCGAGATATGCGATACCTCAGTAACCGGCTTTATAGTGCCAACACCAATTAACGTGTCATGATTAACAGATGCCGCACCTGAAGTAGTAGCCTGAGCATCAGTACAGGATCCAGAATTAGTCTTCAGCTTCCAATGTTTTCGTCTAGGTTCTTTAAACCCATCATTATTCGACGATATTTCATTAACCTTTGGCTTTTTTATTTCCCCTTTCATGCAAGACGACGTACGATGACCAAAAACTTTGCATTTCAAACATTGGGAAGGAACCCAATCATATTCCAAAACCACTTTGATCACATCCTCACCAATACCCGAAAGCCTCGGAATAACAACTTCAATTTGCCGCTGAATTTCACCCACGGCCCAAACAACCACCAAAACTTTAGCAAAAGTAGTACGACCCCAAGCTTTATCACATGTGCTAGCTGTACAAACATCCAAACGCAAAGGAACTCCAACTGCACTGGCAATACAGCTAATACCCTCTCTATTGAACGCAACAAGAGGAATGTTATAAAATTTTATCCATAACAGACATGAGGTATGCTCGGGTTTATGAAGTCCCTTGGAGGGATCCCATGTGGAGACAAAAAGCGGCCTCCCTCTAATCATGCGGGGGGACGACTCAACCACTTGATTGCAACCACCATCATCATTAAACCGAAAAAAGAAATAGCCAAGATCATTTACCATTGCATCTATAAGGCCAAACTTCCCCCATGCATTTTGCACCGCACGTAGAACAATGGGAAAAGGAAGACGAGGGCCCAAGAAATACCCATAAAGAACCGACTAGAAAGATTTAGCCATACCTCTCTTAGCTTCCAACGGAAAAAGAATCCTAGGCTTCACACTCTTTTCGATCAGAAAGTAAGTCAACTCTTGCTTTGGAGTACCTCCCACAACTGCAGCAAAAGACTTTTCGGTTTGAGGCCCACCCAAAACTGCAGGAGAGAGGCATTCCCAAACCGAGGTCCTTTTAGAGATTCCAACATTTTCCCCTACCACCGGCAAAACCGCCTCCTTTAGACCCCCATGCAACTGATCACCATGCAACGCACACAAACCCGACTCCCCAAGGATTACATCGGCAAAATCCTGTGAAGAGGGTTCCTCCAAGATAGCGTCCGCAAAGTCAACCATCGTAACAACAACTCAGGAATGCCTAGCTCCCTTAATCCCGGATCAAGAAGCCGTGGTGCTGAAACCCTCTTAGAGCGTCCTTAATAAAATAGACGAACTAACGAAGACCTCACAAAGAGGTGCTGAATATTATGTCAAGGAAACTCTTTAAAGGTGACGAAGACCACGAAAACACTTGACACGAGAAAAAAGAAACCAGAAAAGAAGTCTGAAACGAGAAAACACACCAAGAAACTGCAGCTAGCTCAAAGACCAACAGCAAAACAACGCAACAGCAATAGCACAACCCTACCCAAACAGCAACAAATGCAAAACAGCTCAAGAAGAACCAGCAACCAAGAAAACCAACAGCTTTTAAAACCAGCAGCAAAACCAAACTCAGGCGAACAGCAGCAAAGCAGCAAATCAACCAGAAAATCCCTCACACATCAGGTTACGCCTTCAAGCAGCAGCTAGGCCCAAACCACTATTAGACTACCCGCAAACAGCAACGACACCAAACACACAGCAAACCAGGCAAAACCAATAGCCACAAGCACATAAAATAATACCAAACCCTAGTCCTACAAACTGTCAAAACAACTCACAGGACCAGCAACGCCAAAAAACGCAGATCACAAACCAAAGGAGGAATAAACCAGCGAACTATAACCAATCGAAACAAAACGAAACAGCAGGTACAACCAAACCCACGAAAACGCAGAAAAAAGGGAAAACCCTAGCACCGCCGTCTAAAGCGATAGTCAAACACAAAAAAAGTCGAAAAACATACTGCAAAAGACGAAACCAGAAGAAAACGGATGAGGATGAAGACCGGTGTGGACGAAGAAACAATCAAGAAACCACCACGCCGCAGCAAACCCTAATCGGCTGTAATGAAGAAGAAACCCGTAGCCCAACGAGAACTCAGATCAAAAACGGCGAAGAAACAATCTAGACGAAACACCATGCATGCACGGAACTCCAAAATTCAAACAAACAAAAACATCATCATTGAAGAAGACGCATCCTTGAGAGAAAAAGTCAAACCCTAGTCAACCCCAAACATCACACATTAATATGAGTAATTGAGGAAGAATGGGTCTTAGCGGTCCTTAATGGGTCCAAATGGTGGYAGTGGATATAATGGGCATAATTCTTGTTAAAAAGTCCAGTTGAGTCAAAATGACACCAACTAGGTCATAATCAGTCCCATTAGACCCTGATGCGTTTAATGAGCCCGTTTTTCGTAACGAGTTAATTGGGTCAAAATGACACTAAATGGGTCATAGTTGGTGTAACTACATGTTAATATGACTAATTGAGGTAGAATGGGTCTTAAGTGTCCTTAATGGGTCCATCTACACTTATTGGGATATTGGTTCCTATTTGGTATAATCGAGTCATTTGGGTCAAAATGACAATAAATGTATCATAATTAGTCTGATTACAACCTATTAGGTTAATAGGGCTCATTTATCCATATGGATTCTAATTGGCTCAAAATGACACTAATTAGGTCATATTTAGTTTGATCAGACTTTTTTTGAACGGGAAACCAAGCAATTTTATAAACCAATAAAGGGAAGACAGCGAGACAAACGATCAACAAAACGATCGACTAGCATCAGAAAAACAGGAAACTGAAAGACCTGGTCGTCAACCCGAACCAAGCCACCAAAAGCCAAAAGGAACAAAGCCCAACAGCCTCAAACAAACAGCTAAAAATAAAAAAAAGGAGCTTAAAACTCAGAAAAGCTCCCCACGCCCACCTACGATCCACCATGATAAATAGTCTTACCCACATCCCTGCTCTCCATCCAAGCCGCACGAGTTGAAATATTATGAACAATAACAGTAATAAGTTGCTTAGAAGTGCGGCGATCGTCTGAGAAAAGTCTTCTATTTCGTTCCTGCCAGATATAATAAACAGACGCTGCCACCGCAAGTTTTTGCTTTAGACTTTTCGGGCGACTCCCAGAATCCGAAATAGCATCCAAAATTTGATCCCATGAAGAAGGAAATGTTGCCAAGTCCACCATAAACAATATACTATCCCAGACTTCTCGGGCAAATGGACATTGAAAGAATAAATGAGAATGATAATCCATACAAAGTCCGCAAAGCGAGCAAACGAGGTCCGGGGGGTCCTCATTCCAAAGCATACGATCTTGAGTAGGAAGACGCCTATGTCAAGCAAGCTATAAACAGAAAGCATGCTTAGGAATATGGCCTGAGAACCAAACCGATTTATACCAAGGTACAACTGGGTGAAATCCCTCCAACGAAGCCAAGCAGTACTAACAGTGAAATTCGAACACGAAGTACAATCATCCCCCCACAGAACTTTATCACGAATTGAAACATTCAAAGAAGGTAAAGGGGCAGGCGTAAGCTCAGGAAACCTGGTAGTCCACACATCCGTCCAGACTTCGTCCAAGCTCAAGAGAAGCTCACTAACCATAGTGACAGTAGAGAACCCACATGAATGGATAAAGCGGTAAGATATAAAAGTCGAGAGATGGCCACAGGATAACCAAGAATCCTCCCATTGATCAGACTTAATAGGTATGATGTGCTTAGTTCGTCATAATTAGTCTAATCAGACATTAATTGGAGTGATTGAGGGTCCATTTGGTGTTAGTGGATATAATTCGCCTATTTATCCTTAAAAATTTCAATTGGGTCAACACGACTCAAACTAGATCATAATTAGTCTTTTTAGACCCAAATGGGTTTAATGGGGCCAGTTATCCATAACTAGTGTAATTGGGTCACAATGACACTAAATGGGCCATATTTGGTTTGTTCAGACCTTAATAGTTATCATGGGCTTATTTCTCCTATTGAGTCTAATTGAACCATAATG